TCCGCTTATTAAACACGAAATTCATCAAATTTCAGACACCCGCAAATTCTCTATTTCTTAGTATCATGCATGACAACAGAAATTTGATCTCAAAATTTGATAGACACACATGTATTTTAGCAGATTAGATAATTTTGTCATATCTTCTCCAATAATTGTTCAATGGGCCTGTTGCAAACTTTTGCTAGAGCAAAAATAAGAGTTGTTTCTTATAGATAATGCCTCAAAAATCACGATGAGCGCATCGGCAAAGTCTGAAATGCACTCATAACTTCACAATCTGCGTAAGAAATTTGCGTTTTTTTAAGCTTCCCGCTTCAAAAACGATACTACGGCACAGGTGAACATTTTGTTAGAGGAGTCGCTCCATCGTCGGCGATATTCATCATGGCCGACACTTGCGCGCAGTTCCGCGCGTAATTCGAGGAGAGTTCAAGGTCAATCAATTCGGGCGTGGAAAACATGAACGTTAAAACACGCCGATTGTTATCTGGTCTAATCCAGTTCAGGTATTATCTCGTCCCTTCACACGTGTTTTGGCGGATTGGCGTCGGCCATGATGAGTATTGCCGACGATGGAACGACTCCTCTTACAAAATGTTCACCTGTGCCGTAGTATCGCTTTTGAAGCGGGAAGCTCAAAAAACCGCAAATTTCTTACGCAGACTGTGAAGTTATGAGTGCATTTCAGACTTTGCCAATGCGCTCATCGTGATTTTTGAGGCATTATCTACAAGAAACAACTCTTATTATTGCTCTAGCAAAAGTTTGCAACAGGCCCATTCATAAACCAAGGGTATCCTCGTGTTCAGTTCACTCAGTAGTTTCCTCTTAAACACGCAATTCATCAAATTTCAGACGCCTGCAAATTCTCTGTTTCTGGTATTCGGAACTACACTGGAAAAAAAAACACATTGGATCTAGAGTCCAGACTCTTAAAAACATCGACAAGAAATAGTACTCTTGATTCAATCAGAATCTAGCTTAAATCAAGAACCAAGCCTCTTAATTTAAGCATATTTCGTTTTGATTCAAGTAAAAATCCGATTGAATCAAGAGTATTTTTTCTTGTCAATGTTTTCAAGAGTCTGGACTCTAGATCCAAGCGACTTTTTTCCAGTGAGTCTTTCGGATGATAAGCGGCAATTTAACAAAGAGCAGAGGCTTCTTTCAATAAAATTTTCCAGTCAGAATTTTCTGAGCCCGTTTTCCTAAAACTTCATTTTCGCACTTACTGCTCACTGGAAAAAAAGACATTGGATCTAGAGTCCAGACTCTTAAAAACATCTACAAGAAAAAGTACTCTTGAATCAATCACAATCTAGCTTAAATAAAGAACCAAGCCTCTTAATTTAAGCGGATTTCGTTTTGATTCAAGCAAAAATCCGATTGAATCAAGAGTATTTTTTTTGTCAATGTTTTCAAGAGTCTGGATTCTAGATCCTATGTGTTTTTTCCGGTGTAGTTCCGGGAAACCGGATCATTGATCAACCGATGAAACCGAAAGTATGAACTTTTTCAGCTCACCTAGAAAGATTTCCCGGACGAATCGGTCTGACTGAGACGACCGCGTGGACTTAATTTAATATTAGGAGGACCGAAGGAAAGAGCGGGGAGAAGTCGACCACGTCTGGGGAAAGCTCGCCGAAAGCTCGTAAAAGCTAGCCGAGGGGCATCCGTGAACTTGGACCGAGTTCCTTCCTTGCCAATCTTGGACCAATCGAACGTTACACTATGTCGCCGCGTAATGTCGGGATGAATAATGAATGTAGCTGTGTTGCCATACGTAGGAAAAATTACTTTTGAAAAAAAATTGATTCCGTCTCTTTCGCGACGGTGGATGCTGGGAGCTCCGAGAGTCAATCGTTGAATCGTCATCGAATGATCTCAAATGATAAGTTCCGGGACTTACCATTCAAGATCATTCGAAAACGGTTGACTCGACTGGTAACGATTGACTCGGACAAAGACGGGATGACTTTTGCGCGAGGAAAAAGGGAGCCCTTCTGCGCAAGCGGAAGGAAATTATGAATTATTCTCGGAAAATGGAGCTCTTGCTCGTGTCAGAAATGTGCGATTTTACTATTGATTCCTGTGTAAAATTTCGCGAGAAACACGACGATACCACTGGTTTTCTCTGAACACTGGAAAAAAAAAAAACACATTGGATCTAGAGTCCAGACTCTTAAAAACATCGACAAGAAAAAGTACTCTTGATTCAATCAGAATCTAGCTCAAATCAAAAACCAAGCCTCTTAATTTAAGCGGATTTCGTTTTGATTCAAGCAAAAATTCGATTGAATCAAGAGTATTTTTTCTTGTCGATGTTTTCAAGAGTCTGGATTCTAGATCCAATGTGTTTTTTTTTCCAGTGTGTAGCCCTATCTTAGCATGGAGAGTTTGACTAGACATAGAGGTGGACCCTCAGGATAGCGTGGGATTTCCGCTCCATTGCGGCCATACTTTGAGAGCTTTTTTTGAGCTTTGGAGTTCATTTCAGAGAAAACCAGTGGCATCATCGTGTTTCTCGCGAAATTTTACGCAAGATAAAGTACTTAAATCGCAGAGCCCCATGCATGCAAGGGTTCTATTCCTGTGACGACGTTGTCACCCATTTCGTCTATATCGAGTGTGCCGTTCCCACGGAGAAAAGAAATGAAATCAACTACTAAGTGAGATATTAATAATCTGACAACCGGCGCGGCGCGGCGCACGGTGGATCGAGTCAATAGGAGAGGTCGGACAAAATTTGGAAACTTTATACGTCCATAATTCCGTTTTTACAACTTCGAACTTAGAGGTTCTAAAAGTAGTGCCATTGGTTTCCTCGTGAAAATTTTCTTTGTAAGCACCCCTTGAAATTTAAAATGCGACAAAATATACATGAAAATTTGCAGTTTCGTCAAAAATTTCATGTCCGACCTCTCTAATTGACTCAATCCACCGTGCGGCGATGTGATTCGAGGCAGATCTCTCCCCAAATCCCGTAAGTCTGATCATCGAGAATTTTATCTTCTGCGTTTAATATCCTGAGAGCAGCGTCGCTCTGTCGTGAGGACGAGAGGGAAACATCGCTGGATCGTTAAATCCTACTTTTCCGCGCCTAAACCTGATTTTATAGCGGAGAAAATTCAGTTTTAACGATCACTTCTTTAGGCGGTTAAGTCGGAATACGAAACGGAACGATAGGTTGAAAGGACCCGCGGCAATAATGCTCTCCGAAGAAGCGAATCGTATCTTCCGGGCACCTGATTCGATCAGTGGTTGAATCCCGCCCATTCGAAAAACACCGCATGAACATTCGAATGTTGCCAAATTAGGGTTACAAGTTCTTGAATATAGTCAGGAAAAACATGGAATTGTCAGGGAATTTTGCTGTGAAACCTGTATTTTTTTAATTTTTTTTTACCAGAACCATTTTTTTAAATTTTACAAGACTTCGAGAATACTTACAGATTTTGTATTCAAAAGTTTTTTAAAAAAAGCGTCAAACAGTAAATATAATACATTCTTTAAAAGGGTCCTTTTTAGACGATATGACACAAGAATATACTTAATTACTCAGGATGTGTCGGTGCTTCGAGAGGGTTGGTTTAGTGTATAAATTGATAATAAAATCTTCAAAGCTGCGCTCGAGCATCCAAATACAGCTAAGTCCACATCGTACATCCTCGATCCAGTCATTCTCTTGAAAAAAGCAGGATGAATAAGTACCTGAGACAGATCTTTGTACGCTTGGGCAATACACAAACTAAACTCCGGTTGGGTCTGTGGTGGTTCTTTATTCGCTTTAATCAATTTAAGTAATATCTTAGCGGGATAAATTGTATTCTCATCACGGAGTATCTTGTACCACAGTGCTGCCCGACGATATATCTTTAATTGGTCATAAACTTTCTCTTCTTGTATTCTTTCTCCTCGTGTTTTGCGTACAGCGTCACTCTTCTTAATCAAGTCCTGGTAATTGTTTACTTTACGGGGCCACGCTCTTTCACGATTTTTCCTTCAGAAACTTGTAGTATGCATCCTAAAGAACACAAAAAGTGCAAAATCACCGGGCGCAATCAATTTTAAACTAATTTTAGAAGCGATAAAAGTAACGTGAATTCCCTATATCATAACGCATTTCGTCCGCGTCCACCATTACTGTTGACGGAGTCACGCAGTCTGACCAACCTTGCTATCTTTCCTCGAAACAAATGAACAGCGGAAAACACTCCCCAGGTCTACCAAGTGGGTAAGAATTGCACTGAAATGACCGTAGGCGGAAAATCCCACGCAATTCAAAATCGACTGATTCAATATGCATGCTTCTGAGCTCTGAGAAGTTTTTCCATTGTTACTATAAGAACTGACAGATCCTGCCCCACAAGCCTGAGTGGCGTAACGTAACCCAACGTAAGCTTACCTAATTTAACGTAACCTAACGTAACAGACCCATTGGTTAGGTCGCGAAGCGACCTAACTGATAGCCTGTTACGTTAGGTTACGTTACGTTAGGTAAGCTTACGTTGGGTTACGTTACGCCACGTAAGGCATCCCTCGGGAGGTTAGGTTAGGTTGGGTTAGGTTAGGTTAGGTTAGGTTAGGTTAGGTTAGATTAGATTAGGTTAGGTTAGGTTAATGATTACTTTTCACATTTATTTTTGAGGATTGTTTTTCAGTTTTTACGATAACCTAACCCAACCTAACCTAACCTAACCTAACCTCCCGATGGATGCCTTACGTGGCGTAACGTAACCTTCGCGACCTAACTAATAGCCTGTTACGTTAGGTTACGTTACGTTAGGTACGCTTACGTTAGGTTACGTTACGCCACTCAGGCTTGTGGGGCAGGATCTGTCGGGGAAAAAAAGCAAGGTTGGTCATACTGCGTGACTCCGTCAACAGTAATGGCGGACGCGGACGAAATGCGTTATGATATAGGGAATTCACGTTACTTTTATCGCTTCTAAAATTAGTTTAAAATTGATTGCGCCCGGTGATTTTGCACTTTTTGGGTTCTTTAGGATGCATACTACAAGTTTCTGAAGGAAAAATCGTGAAAGAGCGTGGCCCCCTAAAGTAAACAATTACCAGGACTTGATTAAGAAGAGTGACGCTGTACGCAAAACACGAGGAGAAAGAATACAAGAAGAGAAAGTTTATGACCAATTAAAGATATATCGTCGGGCAGCACTGTGGTACAAGATACTCCGTGATGAGAATACAATTTATCCCGCTAAGATATTACTTAAATTGATTAAAGCGAATAAAGAACCACCACAGACCCAACCGGAGTTTAGTTTGTGTATTGCCCAAGCGTACAAAGATCTGTCTCTGGTACTTATTCATCCTGCTTTTTTCAAGAGAATGACTGGATCGAGGATGTACGATGTGGACTTAGCTGTATTTGGATGCTCGAGCGCAGCTTTGAAGATTTTATTATCAATTTATACACTAAACCAACCCTCTCGAAGCACCGACACATCCTGAGTAATTAAGTATATTCTTGTGTCATATCGTCTAAAAAGGACCCTTTTAAAGAATGTATTATATTTACTGTTTGACGCTTTTTTTAAAAAACTTTTGAATACAAAATCTGTAAGTATTCTCGAAGTCTTGTAAAATTTAAAAAAATGGTTCTGGTAAAAAAAAAATTAAAAAAATACAGGTTTCACAGCAAAATTCCCCGACGTAACAGGCTATCAGTTAGGTCGCTTCGCGACCTAACCAATGGGTCTGTTACGTTAGGTTACGTTACGTTAGGTAAGCTTACGTTAGGTTACGTTACGCCACTCAGGCTTGTGGGGCAGGATCTGTCAGTTCTTATAGTAACAATGGAAAAACTTCTCAGAGCTCAGAAGCATGCATATTGAATCAGTCGATTTTGAATTGCGTGGGATTTTCCGCCTACGGTCATTTCAGTGCAATTCTTACTCACTTGGTAGACCTGGGGAGTGTTTTCCGCTGTTCATTTGTTTCGAGGAAAGATAGCAAGGTTGGTCAGACTGCGTGACTCCGTCAACAGTAATGGCGGACGCGGACGAAATGCGTTATGATATAGGGAATTCACGTTACTTTTATCGCCTCTAAAATTAGTTTAAAATTGATTGCGCCCGGTGATTTTGCACTTTTTGTGTTCTTTAGGATGCATACCACAAGTTTCTGAAGGAAAAATTGTGAAAGAGCGTGGCCCCCTAAAGTAAAAAATTACCCAAGTCCTTTATATTCGTTACATCTTCTGTACTAATATCTGAGTCCAGACCGGAAGCGTCTTCAAAGTACTCAATGGCACTCCTTGCTCGAACCACGGACCAATGCTTCACCAGATCTTCCTGTCAACATACGCCCAGGAAATATTTGAAAAGTGAAACTATAATTAAATTATAAATGTTCTTGAAAATTCCACAAAAATAAATCAAAAATCAAAAGAAAGAATAGGCTCTCAGCTCGAGAGCTGAGACAGAGTCTCGGCTCATAATCATACTTTCCAAGTCATCATTTACAGTCCAAGTCTAAATAAATTGTCAAGATTTGCGTATTGGAACATGTAATATCTGTTGAAAAAACCAGAAGGAAACTGAAATTCATCAACAAAATCACGCAAAAATCCGGTAGATAGCGCAATGCTGCGCAAGTAGTTAGGACCTTTTACGATTCTTTTTTGAACTCACCAAGCTACCAGATAACTTAATTTTCATATGAGGAATCATGAGGTTGCTTCCATCAGGTGACAGTACTATGAGAATTCAAAAAATCTAATTTTCAACTCCAGCCTACGTGAACAACCGATATTTTCCGGACAGACCTCGTACAGTTCCCAATTCTCATATGAATTTTCTCTCTCAAATTTCCATTTAGAAAAGCTGTTTTTACATCCATTTTGTGAATTAGCAAATCAAATTGGTTGGCAAAAGCCACCAGAATTCTGAAACTCGCTATTCGAGCGACAGGAGCAAAAGTTTCATCATAGTCTTCAGCATATTTTTGGCTGAAGCCACGAGCAACTAACCGCGCTTTATGTTTTTTAGGTTTCCCAAATCCATCCTTTTTAATTGTAAGTATTGAGAGTATGGACAGATCGCTTCATGGAGGGTTTTGGGCCCAAAAGTGCAGCCACCTTTCTAACCAACTTCTAACGCCCAAAATTTCACTACCAGCCTGTAGATTCCAATTCTAACCAATATGGCTAAGGATGTACATAAATGAGCGTTCTCCTGCAAAAAATGAGTAAAATGCAAAAACTAAGTCAAATACGTGCTTTATAAACGATGGTTTGTAACAATTGTATTAGTAAATTGTTCTGTGTAATTGAAATTCATAGGTTGGTTGTATTTCTGGCCCTAACTTTATTCGCGGAGGCATCGGTGAAGGCCTGATGGATTTTCGGAGTTTCACATCCGTCTATACTCTCGCTATACAGGTACTCTATTTAAAACTATGGTAAATAATCGAGTGTGAAGTAATTTGGACCTGAATATTGATGTTTTACCACACCTTCAATGGATTGCATTTTGCAAAAAGGAACCACTAGCATTCCAGTGTTGCAAGGATTGCGCAGCTTACATTCTCTGCAAATAAATACTGAAATAACGCAAACATTTACAATTAAAAATTTAATTTTCGTCTTATCATAGTAAATTGGGAGTAAAGATTAAACTTGTTTCGATTATTAGTTTACTTATTTGCAAGGTAAACAAAGTTGCACAATCATAGCAACATTGGAATGCTAGTGGTTCCTTTTTGCAAAATGCAATCCAAATGTTAGATCGAACGGTCCATCGCGGGTTACGACAGGTCCCTGACAGCAATACGGTGGATTCCCATAAGATTATTAGTGATTGATTGATTTTATGCTTCCTAACTGTTTTGGAGTCTTTCCAGTGGTCTCATTGAATTTATAATCGAAATGTAGCGGATTGTTCTCGTCAAAAATCGTTTAGGATGCACCGTTTTCGACATAACAAGCAAAAACCATCGATTATTGATATGTTACCTTTCTATTTGTGGTATAGTATCGAAATCATCAACCATGGACATTCTCATTTGAAGTTGTGGTAAATAATCGAAGTCATCGAGAATACCGCTTACTCCATACAAGTGAATACGATTCATAAGATTATCCTGCGATCCACGAACCAACAGATATTTCACGTTGAATATTGATCATCTCGTGACGCATCCATCGAGGACCGTAGCACGGAAACGGAGTTAAAGTATTTCATTGCTCCCTCACGACCGCTGGGTAAGAACCTGCTATGAAATTTTAAGTTTTTCTGATACCCTTGATCCATACAAGTGAACTAGAGTCCTCAGATTATTCTGCGACCCACGAACCAACAGATATTTCACGTTGAACATTGATTTCCGGACGTATAGAGTGAGGAACCGTAGGCTTGTGCTGAAGTTTCACCACATACCGTTTGCGAGTGGGGGCTGCCCGCAATGAAATTTTACGTTTTTCTGATTCCCTTGATCTGTAGAAACTAAAACCAGACATCACATCGTTGTGCGATCCACGAACAGACAGCTATTTCACGATGAATTTTGAACTCTGGACGGAGCGAGGACAGCAATTTGCGAAGGCCACGAAGAAAACCGTGTAAACACATAAGATAGGTATGTGTCATGGACGTGTTTATAACATCAGACATACAACCGGTCAATAGTAAAAGTCAAGAATCCATGTATTCAAACAAGCATAAAAACCGAAGAAGGTCCTTGACTGGGTTCCTCCTGGGAGAAGACGCAGAGGGCGCCCAATGAAAGGTTGGAGGGAAGGGATTGAAGCGGAAATGTTAAGGTGCTTAATCCCCCAAGATTTGTGGTTTGAAAGAGAGCAGTGGAGGTTAGAAGTCGTAGAGCGCGAGGGAGTGCTGTAAAGCGACTTATATGTATGTATAAAAACTCGTATATACATTTAGGATACGCATGCGACTTAGGTAAAAGTAGGATTTTCTCGGAAACGAAAAGTTGTATCAAAATTCGGTCTGCACAGTTTTCCGATCTTCGATAGTGTAAAAGAATCGTATCGGGCTGGGGTGGATCGGAGGAGGAGAATTTTCCGAAAATATTTTCCAGCGTAGGACGTAGAAAATGTTTTAATATCCCGAATCAAATCCTCCTCTCCAGTCACCGATACCAGTCCCATCCTGGAGGCCTATGGTCTGTTGATCCCGAAAATTTTACAAGTACGAAAATCCGAATATTTTGCACAATCTGAAAACAATGTAAGGAACAAAACCGCGTATACACATACGATAGGTATGTGTCATAGATGTGTTTTTACCATCAGTCATACAACCTGTCAATAGGAAAAGTCAAGACTCCCATTTATTCGAGCAAGCGTAAAAACTCGTACATACACCATATGCGAGCAATAATAATAAATCATCAAATAATATCATGCAAATAAATCATTTATTTATGTGCACCGTCCGGCAACGCTGTTGCATAACCGCCATCTTGAAGAATACACCATTGTATAACCTGCAAATTGAAGGGGATACATTGCACTATTGCATAACCTGCATATTGAAGGGGCAACATACAATACTTCTTTTTTACAGCGTTGCCGTATTGAACATTACCCGCCATACAACACTGTAATTCAATTCGTATTTTTCTGCACAATTTGGCTAAACACTTTTGTGCTAATATTCCCATATTCATACTACTAAATTGAATTTGAAATGCCTTATCTGTCTGTCAAAAACCTAATAAATAGCGAACTTTTGAAAAATTTGTCTAACAGATATGGGGTTGAAATGAAAATAAATCTACCAGAAAAGCAGTTTTGCATTCGTGGCCTCATAAGCCTGTGAACCTAATAATTATTTACATAAAAAATTACCGTGAGTTTATAGTATCTAATTTTTCTAAACAAACCAATTTGAACTTTCAAAAGTGATTATTGCTAGTAAAATTTTCCTTTCTATTCTCTCTTTTACACAATTTATTAGTCTGTCAAAAACTCAAAATACATAAAAAATTACGACTTACAACTCTTGCAGAAAGTTTCCCATTTTCCGTATGAGCTTGTTTGATTTGAATCTTCTCTGCCTTCAATGCGTTGAATATAGCTTCTTCACGCAAAACCTCATCCTTAATATTATTTATCCAGCTGGCCTGACCATGAGCTATTTGTTCGATTGTTTTATCTTCAACCTCATCATTGTTGGTTCTCTATATTGACCAAAATTCAAGCACAATTGTAGTTATTTTGGTTGAAAGAAACGCAGTTGCATTTTTTATTAACAATAGGTTAATGTCCTGGTCACCCTAAGGGTTTTCAAAATTCAAACATGCAGCAAAATTTGAAATCACTTTGAATTGCATCAAGGACAGGTTTCATTGGATTATAAATCTCTTCATCTGCAATTTCATTTTAGGTTTGACTGGATTTTAAGGCACTCAAGGTTAAATACAGCTGAAAGCTTGAAATAAGATTATATGCACCAGTGGTCGGTTGGCAACTGCAGCAGCGAAAAATTTACTGAAATCACTACTTTTAAGATGCCACGCCCCTAGTGTCTTAAAACTTACAATGCGTTTGACTCAAAAATCCTTTCATTGGCGGGCCATTTTTCCTCTCGAAATTGATGTGGAACTCCTAAAACGGATCACTTATCGGAAGGTCAGACTTTCAATAAATAATAAACATTGAAACTCTACAACTAACGAAATCCGTACATCAGAGTGTTGCATTTTCGGCACTTTTGTGATAAAAGTTGTTTTTGTATTGGAATTATCTCTTGCTTTATTGAACTCAAATATTCTATGAAAACGAAAAATTATCATTTATTTCATTCATACTCACCGTTTTTTCTATTTCGGTTGGTTTCTTGGATGGTTCCTTCTCTAGCACCAAGGGCATGAGGTGAACCTTCAAAACACATCAAAATACATCTTTTAATTATTAATTTTAAAAAATAACGTCAAAAAAGGACTGTACAAAAATAACACTTTAAAGAACTATAAAACATTGATTAAAGTAGCTAACAAATAACCGTTTTTATCGCAATAAAAAATTGTTTAAAATTTTTTTTTCTTAAAAAAAAAACCAATTAAACTGATTCCTAGTTTCAGGTAGAATAAAGATATTTTTGATCAGTCAATAAAACCGTGTAAATTATTTTAACTATCCTCTATGAAGTAGCATATAGTTTTATAGTAATACTTTTTAGTAATTATAGTTAATCAAAAGTTCAATTTTAATCCTTTTGTGGAACAGGGTTTTTAAATTGGAAAAAAGGAAGTCTAAAGAAATTCAATTAAAGAATAATTATTTTACCTTTTCACTTTGATTAACAGTAATATCATTATCATTAATATCATTAATATAAACTTCGAAGGATTCAGACTTTCGGCGATTCTACCTTTTTCTATTTCACTCGAGAGGTTGCCAGATTGTGCGATAAATGTGAATATTTTACATGGATTTGAATCGGGAAAAGTGTTAAAAAAACAACTTATCTGGCAACAGTATAGAGTCCGGGAGGGACGAGAGGCTGTCTTCCTGGGAAAACCCATGATTTAGCCGGACATGTCATTAAAACAATTGATTCCGTTTGAAGCATCAATTGTATACTAGGGGAAAGCTATTTTACAATAATAATTGTAAATGGACACAGATGCTACAGAGAGGGAAAAAGGGAAGGAAAAGGAAATGAAATGAGGATATGATCAATGAGGATAGTATTATGCAATCAGAGAGACTAAAACAAAAACATCAGAGAAATTTATATGCGATGAAAGTATAAGAAAAAAACACGAGTGGGCTCATTGCGATTCGGAACTCGAACTATACTATCGTTGAGCAGTTTTTAGACCCCTACGCCACCGATAATCTTCTTAAGAGGTAAAGATGAACTTTTGCTACTTCAGCAAGTCAAATCGCGGAAGGAGATCCATGGATTGTCTTTTTCCACTACCCGATGGGATGACGTTCCAGTCAAATGCGCTTTTGAAGAGATGATCGATCCCCATCATTGCTTCATCTCCACACATCTATTCATGTGGAAATGGTGGCACGCTCCGGCAACAAGGTTCTGTGACGAAATCATTTTTGCCTCCTGAGTCTCCAAAATGTATACATCTTAGTGATCAAATGTCCAATCACTGAGAAAAATAGCTCGCGGAGCGAGCCGAATGTCACTCGCGTAGCGAGTGATCCGGGGTCCAGGGGGCGCAGCCCCTTGGCTGGCCGCGACAGACGCGCAAAGCGCGTCCAGAACGGCTAGTTTATTGATATATGAGAATAATTGCTATGAAAAAAGAAAAATAAGGAGGGTATAACAATCGTCCTCAGAAAAAGGAACTGATCCTTGTCAAAAACCGGCATTCTTCAATCTAAAAAAGTCTTCTAAAATGGAGACAAAATGTTTAAACTGAAAAGAATTTTTGAAAATAAATATGAATTATGAAATCACAAAACATATTAAAAATTACGGAATGAAAAATGAGTTTGAAATGAAAATTTTTGACTTGTATTGATAAACCTAATCTGAGGTATGATTAACTAATGTAAGAACCAAAATTAAATAAATAAAAAAATAAATTAGGATCAGTTATTGTATTTACACTTACATTTGAAGAGTCGGGGATTTCTTCCAGAGGGGTCGACAGAAATGCCGCCACAAACGGTAGTATGATGCACAAGGATATTACGACATTCATGGTTGTTATGTGTACCTAAAACAACTGATTACTGTATTCGAAGCGAAGTCCACGCAGAGTTTCTCACTCTTATCAGTCACTGATAATAATTCAACGATAAATGCACGGCCGAAACGCGAGAGCGGGATTTTTCACGCGCCAGAACCGCTAGGGGCCGGTGTCGGCTCTGTCCGCTCTGTTGTTTAATGGAAGAACGCCGCGCCGTATGTACATTTGGACGTTGCCAAATTTCACAGAATGTATTTTTGATAGACATATTGATTTTCATGAATTTTTTAGATATGAGTGCTTTAGAACAAATGTGATAATCCAAAGGACAAGGAATACGAATTTATGCTAAAAGAAACTATGTGCGTGTTACAATTGTGACTTAGTTCCTTTTGGAATTAATACGTACAAGCGGCCTTAGAGTCGTATTCATAGTCGTCTCTTAAACAGCGCTATTCCCTGGAAGAAGGAAGCCCTCAAAATAGCATCATAAAAAAGATAAGTTTTGCCAACCTCGAGCCGCATACCTTTAGAAATGGATCTTTGCGAAGGATCTTAATAATTTGTCAGTGAAAAGAAGAAGAAGAAGAAGAAGAAGAAGAAGAAGAAAAAATTAAACAATTTAAACCAACCGGAATAATGATCGTTAAAAGGTAGAAGCTCAAAAAGTGTGGCTTCGAGAGAAAACCTATGTTTCTAATTGTACAAAGGCTGTCCCAAAAATAAGTGGACTGATGCTGTAATTTCCGAACTGATCATTGCAGCGATTTTTTCTTGGTTGCGTTTTAAAGATCAACTCAATACCTATCGATTAAGACCAAGATCATCAAAATCGGTCAAAAATTGACCGAGTTATGACGTTTTCCGTGAGAGGAGTAAAAATTCAGCCCACCGTTTTTCGAAGGAAATTTATTCTTACCGAGAGTTACAAGTTTCAAGCTTCGTCTTCGCTACTCGCTAACAATGATGAATTTTTCGATTCCTTTTCGAAGTATTGTCCGTGAGACTTGATGCACAATCTCATGCGTTCTTGCCATTTTTCGGTCATTATTGTTTTATGAAAATCTTCGATCTGAAGGGTGTTGAAGAACTTCTCGACCGCGGTCTTGATTTCTGCCTTCGACTCAAACTTGCGGCCTTGCAATCCCTTCTTGAGCGTGGGGAAGAGCCAAAAATCGCATGGTGCGAGGTCGGGGCTGTATGGTGGATGGCGGATACTTTCAATACCATTTTTTGCAAAGAATTCTTTGGTGTAATTTGGACGTATTTATGCGAAAAGGAGATATGTGGAAGTGGAAAGATGGGGTGTGCTCGTTAGTGGTCGGGCCATAAGAATGAATGGGGAATAATTGTGCGCCAGTGACGTCAGCGGCAATGAGTGCGCACTCTAACGACGGGGAGATGGTCGTCGGGGCGCTGTAACTCGTGAGCCCTGTCCACAACGCTCTCTTGCCATGCCCGCGGCTCATGAGTTAGCATATTTTGCCGCTTAGCTCCTTTTGATTTAATAGAAAATCCCGCTTCTCAATTTTCTCAAAAGGAGCTATATCCACTTTTACATTGTTTCTTATGACCCAACTAACGAGCACACCCCATCTTTCCACTTGCACATATCTCCTTTTAGCATAAATACGTCCATTTGACGTATGAGGCCGAGCATTATCCTGGTGGAAAAGCCAAACAGCTTTCAAATGCGGCCGCTTCCGCGCAACATGCTTCCGCAGCTCGGCCAAAACTTTACAGTAGTAAGCACTGTCCACTGTTCTTCCTTGCTCGACGAAATGCTGGTAAATCATGCCTTTTGAGTCAAAGAAAGCAATAAGCATGACCTTACATGCAGATTTTTGTTGCCGGACTTGACCCGCGTAAGTCTCGGTAAGAATAAATTTCTTTCAAAAAACGGTGGGCTGAATTTTTACTCCTCTCACGGAAAACGTCATAACTCGGTCAATTTTTGACCGATTTTGATGATCTTGGTCTTAATCGATAGGTATTGAGTTGATCTTTAAAACGCGACCAAGAAAAGATCGCTGCAGGGCCGGATTTACCTACTTGCCGCCCATGGGTCGCCTGTATTTTGCCGCCCCCTTCTCATTCGTTTTGAATCATCAATAAAAATCATCAAGTGAACGTGCCGGAGGGGGAGGGGTGCATAAGAAACGTTTGATCGTGTTGGTCACATTATTTTCAAAAGCCCTGTCAACACTACTGGCTGAAGTTCACGGAACTTCGTGCGAAGGTTAAGTTCTGTAAACCTACCTCTGTGTTGACAATGCCTTCCATTTATGATAAATGACGAAACAATTGTGATAGAACAAACATGAATGTGGTTTAGTAATTTTAATTTCCGCTGCCGCGCCGCGTTGACCGCACCGTGATTGGCGCAATGCGTGAAGTATTCTTACAGTCTTGTAGGCGCTATACGTTTCACGCCGCGCGCCGACAGCTGCTGGACGCTTTGTGTTTGACGCTATGCGTGAAGTATTCATGAAGTCTTGTAGGCGCTGTGCGTTCCACGCCGACCGCTGCTGACCGCACTGTGTTTGGTGCAAATCGTGAAGTATTCCTTCAGTCTTGTAGACGCTATGCGTTTCACGCCAACCGCTCCTGACCGCATTGTGTTTGACGCAATGGGTGAATTATTCATGAAGTCTTATAGGCGCTAATATGTGTTACATGCCGACCGCCGCGCCGCGCCGAGTGCTTGTCCTTTTCATCTGAAGTCCTCGTCATCATTCCTCTCTGCGCTGAGCTCCAGGCCAAATTGCGTGTTTAGTTCCTCTCTAAACTCGACTAATTAAAGATGCTGTCTCTTGTATCACCGAGAAACGACAAAATTAGAAATTACTATACTCTCAGGAAAGAGAGATTTTGTCCCCTCTTCTCACTGATAATTTTTTTCTGAATCCGATTTTTTTTATACCTACATTTAAAAAAAATGCAAAATTTGCCGCCATGGGCCGCGGCCCATGTGACCACCTCCTTAATCCGGCCCTGCTCAAGATCCAAATTTTTTGGTGGCAACAATTTTTACGGGAAATCAATGATTTCAAATCTTGCCAAAGAAGAACACTGAAAAGTCAGTGTTTATGTCAAAAACATTGAGAAGTCAGGGAATTTTAAAATTCAAGAAAACTAGTCATACGGAAGATTTTGATCTTGAAAATAATTATTTTTGAGACAAGTCATGGACCTTTTTCCTCGAACAGTCCAGAAACGGTGGATAAGATCGATAGTCAAGCGTGTCGAAATTTAGAAGGAAAAATTCACACCTTTTTCAGAAAATTGCGGATTTTATCTCGAAGTGAGTTTCAGGGTGAAATTCTGAAAAGAAGTGTCATTGAAAAGGCGCAATCGAATAAGAATTTCAATAAATTTTGACTGATGTACCAATAAATTCTAGTAAGAGCGTCCAACCTCAAAGTGCAAATTAGTTGAAATGCTTCAAGCGCGCCCTTTCAATTTTTCCTTCAGATATTGCATACACAAGAGCCGCTTTCGAATTCAGCGTTTTCCGGCACTCAACAACATACAACACCTAGTCGCGGAAGTCCCTTATCTTCGCAAAGCCTTTCAGAAAGTTGACACTCCCTCATTTTCTGCAAAACCCCTATCGCCATAATTTTACTGGGATCGCCTTTACCGGGAATGGAGATGTTGTATGTGTGAGGATTGACTGTTGAATCTTATGTAAAAGTTCAAGAGAAACACAATGGTGCCACTGGTTTTCTCTGAAATCAACTCCCAAGCTCAAAAGAAGCTCTCAAGTTGAAGCCAAAATTGAGGGGATGTCCCACGCTATCCTGAGAGTCCACCTCCACATCAAGACAAACTCTCTGTGCAAAGATCGGGAGCAAATACATTAGCAGGGTTGCCGTGTTTTCAGTTTTAGAGTCCCCAAATAAGGTGGCAGCCCTGTCAATGTATTTGCTCCATATCTTTGCATGGAGAGTTTGTCTTGATGCAGACGTGGACTCTCAGGGTAGGGTGGGATATCCCCTCCATTTTTGCCCCAACTTGAGAGCTTTCTTTGAGCTTGGGAGTTGATTTCAGAGAAAACCAGTGGGACCATCGTGTTTCTCGCTAACTTTTACATAAGAATTAACAGTCAAATCGCAAACTCCTCACACATGCAACATCTCCTTTGCGACGTCCCATTATACTTTTTTTAGGTATTCCTCTTCAGAATTCAATAATGAAACTAATTCCGAATCAGAATAAACAATTTTCTACGAATTCTGAAAAATTAACGGTTACATGGTGCTGATTCTCCCAGGATTTTTGTTAAACAAAGGGTCAGAGCCCTCGAATCTTGGTCTGTTCTGTATCTCCATTGTTCAACTGCCTCACCGCACAATGGATCGAATTAATAGGAGTCGGACGAAATTTGAAAACTTTAAAAGCTTATATTTTCGATAATATTAAACAAAGAAGTTCAAGAGTGGCTCTAATGGTTTTTTCGTAAAATTTCCATTTAGAAAAACGCATTCAAATTGAATTTGTGACTAAAGATTCATCAAAATTTGGAATTTTAGCCAAAAAAGCCATGTTCGACCTCTTCTGTTAGCTCGTTCCACTGTGCGCCGCACAAAGGCGGATCCAGCAAATTGGCAACATTGTTTTTTCTCCATTTAAACCTGTGGGCATGTATCGATTCTTAATGGGACCAGGTGCTCCGACTAGAATCGATTATTTTACATAGGCTTAAATTGAGAAAAAAACAATGTTGCCAATTTGCTGGATCCGCTGCTGACGCCGCAACATTGTACATTCTCCATTTAAACCTATGGAAATGAATTGATTCTTGGAGGGGCCAGGTGCTCCGACTAGAATCGATTATTTAGCATAGGTTTAAATGGAGAAAAAACAGTGTTGCCAATTTGCTGGATCCGCTATTGGCGCCGTAAAGTGGATCGAGTCAATAGGAGAGCAAAATTTGGAATTTTTGAACGCGTATTACTCCGTTTATTCAAATATTTGAGGTTCTAAACAAGGTCCCACTGGTTTCCTCGTAAAATTATCTTCCAGACACCCGTTAAAAGTTAAAACGA